GAAACTGATGGCTTAAAGGTAGAAGCCAGTAACATAGATTATTATAAACCTTTAATTTATATAAATTTCAGATAAACAAAGTAGTTTTTTTCTAAACCTATAAGTAATACAGTAATATTGTTTTATGATTACCTCCCTTGTGAGAACTCTTTCGTCTGTAGAGGGCTAGAAATAGTCACTATGCTGGTATCAATTATTCTAAGCAGAATAAAGCTTCCTTAGGCCTAATCCTACTTCTTTTGTTATTACATTGGTATTCTACACTACTTTAAATAAAGTGCAAGGCTAGGAATGAAATCCTCATCAATACTGGAAAGAGTGATAACAGCTACTGGACTTGAGAAACTTATTTTCATGAAAAATCTTTTTAAGAGTAACATTTTATAAATTTCAAACGGCAACAGTACTGGTTTCTCGGTCAGAGAATGCTAAAGGTTTCCTTATAAGGAAACCGCTAATATTAATATTACCATTGCCAGTCACGTATTCGGTCCATTATTTTCTCAGCATCCTTCTTTAGAACTACATCATTGTTGCCGCAAGTATCTCCTTCATTTGTATTTGCTATTTTCAAGCATTCGTCGCCATATGACATGAATTTAACGAATATTTTCATTATATAATGTTTCTGCTTCGTAATATTTCTTTTAGTGCTTCTTCGGATTTCGGTGTCACAAATTTCAATAAGTTTTCGATGATACAATTGTCTTTTTTTGTGAAAACTTTGACTTACATAATAAATTCTGACATGTTCAGTCACTTTGGAATACAGATTAAGTAATCGTACTCATAATTGGTGGCGTACTGGGAAAAGACCTGGAATCTGATGCATATCTAACCTCGGCCGTCTTCATACATAAGAAAAGCAAGGAATCGAAGGCAAAAAGGTCATATGCCATGCAGAGATTCCATGCAACTTGTCGACCGGCCACAAAAAAATGTCAGAATTATGTTTTCTATATATTCACTGAAGAATATAAACCAATCGCGTTTCCCCAGATTTGGTTTGACTTTAGAATTTTCGCATTTTGACGTATTCAGTTTGGATTTGTCTATTTTGACTTTCACCTCTTTGGCATTCTTTGTCTTCTTCCTCTAAATCTTGTTCCCTTGGAATCAAAAATAGATAGGAAAATAAACTATGTGCCCCCAACCTATAAAAAAATGAAGATTAAACAAGGGTCGATAGTCATAGGTAGCTGATTGAATAGCACAGAGCAATAGATTTTCTTTGGGTGTCCAGACATTCGGGAGCATGGTTTAGGGAGCTTGTCAGGAAAATAATTGATCCTGTTGTGAATTCGGTCGACACGGGGTGCCCAAGAATGATAACCTCCTGTCTTTCTTCGCTAAATTTAATAGATAGTTAGTCTAATGCAGGTACCTCCAAAAAAATTTTTAAAAAGAGCATACCCTGATGAAAAAAGGTCCCAAACTTCATAAAAACAAAATTATTAAGAGAAAAAAAATTTTTTTTGGATTATTTTCCTCATTTTTTACTCCTTTCTAGAATGTTCGAAATTTTTGTAAAAATATCTTGTTTTTCTTGTGTCAGCGGATGGGCCAAAAATCAGTACCGGTAATTTTAGCGTCTAAAACACATTGTTTTGAAAATTTTTCAAAAAATCAAATAATTGTCGGATTTTAATGAAGTTTTCAGAATTTATTCAGAAATGAATTATATTATTTTAATTATTTTTCAAAGAAAACCTGGGTAATTTTTTTTCATCTGTTACCCTCACTTACTTAATTTTATGATAATTCAAGAAATATTCATATTTATGTTAGTTAAATTAGTTAGGACAGCTTGAAGAATTAAAATCAATTTCTATTTATCAAGCAGAAACACCATTTGCTGAAAATCTGCTCTGAACCGTAAAATAAAGAACGCAATAAAAGTGATTTTATTTAATTAGAAAATTTTTTACTTACTTTTGTAATTAAGAGATATTAAGGACACTATTGCATTAAGAAAAAAAAATTCAGTGAATTATGAATTATTATAAGAATTTTTTTCATATTTTAAATCTTAATTAGAAAATCTATTAAGTGTTAAATCTTTTAAAATTCTGTATTGTTTTCAACCTTTTAGATGATAGTATAATTAAATGAAAACAATATTTACTAATCATAAATGGAAAAGCTTACTAAAAATCACCAAAAACCCATATTTTTAAAAGAATTTTGAATTTTTTTTTTCGGTTATAAAAGGTACGAACGTCCATAGACGATATTATCTAAACGATAACTATAGTTAATATAAAGCGAACATTTCTAAAATTCAATAAAACATTACGGATATTTTCCTAATTTTTTAAGATTACTGAATACTTAAAAAAAATTTTTTTAAATATTCGCTCGCGTCATTTTTTCAATTATGTTTTACAGTTAAAGTCTCCGTAGAACACTATAAGATCATTCATCAGGCTGTCAACGTCTCAATACAGCGTTAAAAACAGTTATGTATCGGGTTACACAATGCATTTCTGCGATAGTTTACAGTTAAAGTAAATAATATTTGTTTCAAATTAGATTAATTATACTTCCAATCAGCTAGTATTCCTCAAATAAAATTTCAGAAAAGTATATTTTATTCTTGATATTTTTTTTTAATAATTTATTTTCTACATTGTGATGAAAGATGACCCAAGGGCGGTAATCAGCTATTTTTTTTGAAAAAAACAAACAAAAAAAACACAAATATAATAAAATTAATTAGATTTGAAATGCAGCAGAGTATTTTGCATATTGTATTTAATCTATTGATTTGAAATTAACACTAAAATAAAAGCCCCAAGAAAGAATTTTAATTCATTTTAAAACCTTAGGTATTTGTGAGGAGTTCTGTACCTCAGTTCTATGAAAAACTTTTTTTTACTAATACATTCACTACTCTTTTGAAAAATTGGTTGCTTTCCTTGTGCTTAATTAAATTAATAAAGTATTTAAATATGTTTTAAAAATATTTTCTGAAAGTTGAAATTTACAAAGAAAAAAAATATTCTCCTCACATTCACTTGTGGTTTTACACCCGCTTTTACATATAGTGACACACAGCTACATTCATGCACACACACACACATATATATATATATATATATATATATATATATATATATATATATATATATATATATATATATATATATATATACACACACACACACACACACATATATATATATATATATATATATATATATATATATATATATATATATATATACATACAATTATCCTGCCCACCCCAAGTGCCACACTCACTCCGACATTTTCTGTTTGCCAGAAACGCCACTAATATGAAAGGAGACAAAAGGGAAAACGCCGAAATATTCTGCCCAGCTTTTGTAATGCGTCCTTGCCCATCCCAATACATCTACGGGACTTAATATCGCACTTAAGCTCATTGTTTATAGTGATATAAGTGAAATATTATACTTAAATTAAATAATATTTGTTTCAAGTCAGATTAATTATACTTTTCAATCAGTTAATATTCCTCAAACAAAGTTTCAGAAAAAGTATATTGTATTTTTGATAATTTTTTTTTTAAAAAGAATTGCATTGCGATGAAAGACGACTAAAAATGGGTGTTCATCAGTTATTTTAGCAAAAACAAAAATTTATTTCAGTCAATTTATATCAGTCTTTGAAATTATTGCTTATTGCAAATATTAAGTTTAATCTGTTACCTTGAAATTAAAACTAAAATAAATGCTTCAAAAACGATATTTCATTTTTAATAATTCATTTTAAACCTTAAGTATCACGTTTTGTGTGGATATCCCTAGTCTAAGGACACCTTAACGTGGTGTAATATTTGGCAAAGTAACCTACAGGAACATAACCTCAATAGGATTTCGATTTCTCCTTCATACCTCCACCCTCAATACCTAGAACTGCGCTTCGTTATACGTATACATATTTCTAGATACGAAACTAAACTTAACATTCTAGCATTGGTAGCCATTGCAATTTTGGCCTTGAGACAGAAATTACCGGATATACGTGCCCGAAGGCATATTCTATTTAAAAGGCTAGAGCTGATATCTGACGACTAATGTGTACTGATATTGCAATAATTTAAAATTAAAGTAAATCATATTTGTTTCAGATCAGTTTAATTATACTTTCAATCAGCTAATATTTCTCAAATAAAGTTTCAGAAAGGCATATTTTATTTTTGATAATTTTTTTTAATAATTTATTTTTTACATTCCTATGTAAGAAAACCTGCGCAAAGCCAGATTTTCGTTGGTGAAAAAGTAAACAAAGATAATGAAAATAGTCCAGCAGAAACATATAAACTTAAATTTGATTAATTCTAACAAAATTCGACTCGTCTAGCTGGTTTCTGTCAAAACAGGGAAACAGGAAATAATTATATATATTTACTGTTCATAAATTAAAAACTTAATACAAATCATCAAACACTAATATTTTAAAAAGAAATTTGAATTTTTTTTGTTTAATATGTGTATATACGTCCCCGAAGGCATATTCTATTTAAAGGGCTAGATGTGTATTGACCATATGGCGTAATGGTTAGCGTCTCGGATTGAGGAATCGGAGAACTGAGTTCGAATTTCAGTCGAATTCATTACATTCACTTACGTGCTAATACCCTTGGGAAAGGTATGAATCCTCTTGTTCTCCTCCCAGCTTTGGGTAAATAGCAGGTCTACCGCAAAAGGAAATGGCAACCTACTACGGGAAAAAATATGTCTCGTCAGTCATGTATCGAAAGATACATGATCGCCTAAGGGTGTATCATGCATGACACATAACTAACTGACCATATTCCATCCAAAGAGGCGTACTGATATATATGTAAACACTTGCAATGATTTCGATACACACTTAGTGCCGTGCACATATGGCCATGTACAATACTAAGCTAAGGTTACTAAATACGAAAGTATTCTTGTGATAGCAAGTAACTGAGTGAACGAGAAAAATTACGTCTGTATCAAACAGCCACATCTGTGTTGGATGCTGTACTAAAGGGGCCGTAAACACGTCGTGTAGCTGTGACCTACTTCAGACACAAGCCAGTCGCTGTCAAAACGATATCGTCTTCTCGTGTGTATAGTGGCGACGCTAGTTTCGTCTGCGGTCCGCAGCCGGTCGGACGCTTCCGTGACTCGGAGGTCGGCAAGGCTGACGACCAACAAAAGTCAACATTGTTTGCTTGGGAATTCGCTTATTTCGAAATCAAAGAATGCTCTGTTGCACAATTCCTTCTCACCGCCATCGCCGACACACATACAGACGTACACACGCACGCGAACATAAATCTGCAGAATCCTATATCTAAGATACAAAATTTTTGATTTTTATATATATATATATATATATATATATATATATATATATATATATATGTGTGTGTGTGTGTGTGTGTGTGTGTGTGTGTGTGAAACAGATAGATAGATAGATAGATAGATAGATAGATAGTCAAGAAACAGTCCGAACAGAGAAAACAAACTGAATGGTGATTGCCATTTTAGCGCATCAGTCCATGTTTATATATTGCAAAAGTACTATTTTGTTACTGATCACACTTCAACTATTCATGTGTCAAATGTTAAACTATGTACACACACGACACACGCACAGACACACATACAAGTGTATGTATATATAATATTTCATTCTCTGTATTTATGAATAGATTGTAATTTCTATGCGCATTAAAAAGCACTTTCAAAAGAATATAAAATAGACTGGGATAGATAGACAGACACACGGGCAGATAGATAGATAGATAGATAGATAGATAGATAGATAGATAGATAATTATGAACCGACTGACCTAGATAGATAGATAGATAGATAGATAGATAGATAGATAGATAGATAATTATGAACCGAGTGACATAGATAGATAGATAGATAGATAGATAGATAATTATGAACCGAGTGACATAGATAGATAGATAGATAGATAGATAGATAGATAGATAGATAATTAGGAACCGACTGACCTAGATAGATAGATAGATAGATAGATAGATAGATAGATAGATAGATAGGAAAGCATACAATAATCTTTCGTTTAATCATGTCCTTATAAATAGAACAAACATAGTCTACTGAGCTTTTTGTCGCGTTTCTCCTAACGTCGAAGAAATCGTTTCATGTATTTTGCAATCTTGTAAATAAACTTAGCCAAATTATATTTTTTTCACGTGCCTTCGGTCATTGTAGGTCATTTTCGGGTAGACAATATGGAGAGGTGAGAACTACACACTATAACGTTTTGTGTTCGTACTTTTTATATTCACAGCTGCGTTTTTAGCTGTCCGACTATATCATGTTAACAATATATAACTGTTATACCGTTTGCCTGGATATATCTGCGATGGGAAGTTGTCGTTATTTACACTATTAACACGCGAACTATTATCATCATCTTTGTTATCACAACGTTTCGACCGTTTGGTACTCCCGGCCTTCATCGGGTTTACGCCGATCTACATGGAATTACGAACTGAAAACCTTTATTTACTTTACGGTGGTAAATATTTGTAAAAGAAAAAAAATTAAAAACAAAGATCACATATATTTGACATAGATACTGTTCTTCCTAATGTGTGTGCTGTACTTATGAGTAAAATTATTTTATTTCTTTAAGGCATGGGCTACCATGAACCCCTTCAGTAAATTCATCGGAACCTTTTCCAATCAATTCGAGTGCTCCAACTATAACTGGAATTATTGATGTCCTCAGATGCTACATTTTTGAGATTTCCACTTGAAAGTCCTTGCATTTTAATAGATTTCCAAAGATGCCTTACAATCTGCTAGGACAGCCATGTCAATAAGAAAGCACATTCTATTTTTGTGGTCTTCTATCATGTGCAGGAGATTAGTTTTGGTTGTTATGTCTGCGTGCATTGTAAAGCCCCATAAAATCGTTACAGGTCCTATCTTTGCAACCGGATCTGGGTGGTGTTCATACTGGTATCTTGCAGGTTCCTTTCAGTAAAAAAGTTGCATATTTTCCAGTGCAGATATTGATCCCCTCTATCATACAGCGTTTTATATTCAGTGGGTGCCAACACCGTGCAACCTGATACAAGATGCTCAATTGTTTTTGGATATTTATCACAGAATCTGCATTTCGGGTTAACACAATTTTTTCAGTATCTATGCTTGGTAATTTCTAGTTAGTAAGCATTGGTGCTTTGCAGCAAAAATAAAACCTCCGATTTCAGTTTTTAACGTTGCTCAAACGTAAGCAATGATGGGTTCGGGGCTTTTCTACATTACCTTGTTTGGCTCGGGCAAAATATTGACCATGAAGAGGCTTATCTTATCATCGTTTCTACATTTGGTACAATGTATTTGCTTTTCCTTTCTTCTTTATGTTTTTTACTGTAAGCGCATTATATTCCATTTGCACTTTTTCACCGACTTGAAATTCCCATTACGTTTATTACTCACTAAAGTTTCTTAATTCTTTCATTTTCTTTGACACATATCATCATCCAGTCTTCTGTAATTTCCAGGTGTCTTTGAAGACCGATTGTTTTATCTTGGCACATGCAGATGATCAACACCGGCCTTTGGATGAAGCATGCGGCGGCAAGTGAAAAGCTTACTCGTTTTGACCACTATTTGCTTAATGTCTGCTAAGGTCTAATAAAGGATTTTGAAATTCTATTGCCCCACAGAGACAGCCAAAGTGTTTATGGCTGTTATTCTATTTTGTGAATTCAATTCGGTATTTAACACAAGACGCACACGCCTGCAGTATTCTTTTCTTACTTTCTCCTTCATTTGGTTATGCTGTATACCATCCCATTCGCTAATCCCTAGGTACTTATAAGTTTCATCCTGTTCCAGTTCCCTAATCTATGTGACAAAGTCTAAATCTATTAGGTGCGTTTCTGTAATTCTCTCTTTCTTCAAAATTTACTTTCGCACATTTATCTAATCCGAAATCTATACCTATGACGTCACTGAAACAATTTACAATATTCAATTCATTGTCGTCTTTGCCCAAGAGTTTGATATCATCCATGTAGAATAGGTGATTGAAAACTTTCTTTTTTTTATATTATATCCATAGTAATTACTGTTCAGTTCATGCGTAAAGCGGATTAAGGACAGACAGAACAGAAGGGGTGACAGGGAGTTTCTTTGAAAGATTCCTCCTCGGATATTCAAACAAGTGGAAGTGGCAGTATCTTTGGTGTGATTTCGGTATAACGTGGTTTCCACAGTTTCATGCTATACTTAAGGACAATTACTATCACCGAGGAGACTTTGTACATATCTACAAACTTAAAGATCGAAGAGTGTGATACATTATCAAATGTTTTACGGTAATCTATCCAAGCTGTGCTGAGATTTCTACCTTTTTTCCTGCAATTTTCCAGGATCATTTTATTTCTCAGTAGTTGATTTTTGTATCCTCTTCCAAATCCCCTTTGTTCCAGGGAAAGAATGTTGTTTTCATCGAGAAAAGAGTACAAACAATTCGTCAGGGTAGGTAGATGCGATCAATATACATATGGTTTACAATTTTTTGGATCTTCTGTTTCATCCGTTTTCGGTAGGAGATATGCCTTCAGTGATCCACTCTGGAATTTCATTGGCGTTAATTAGCATTGATAAAATTTGTGCATGAGTTTTATGAAATATATAAAAGATCATAGATCCAAAAGATTGGTACTCTGTCATTTCCAAGGGATTTTCATTTTGGGGATTTTGTTAGTACTTCCCTAATATTATTCTTGGTTATATTTTTCCATTTTTGCACAGGTTCATCCTTCATTCATTCATTTATTATTATTATTATTATTATTATTATTATTATTATTGTTGTTGTTGTTGTTTTGTTGTTGTTTTTGTTGTTGTTTTTATTATCAAATTAAGTTAATCTTAGTCATTTTATATTGATTCTATCTGTTATGTAACATCAATCCCCCTATATGTTAGTGAGTGCTGCGCAAGAGTACCATGGGAACGGAGACGTAACTGACCTAATGAGATTATGTAAATCGATGTCAGAAGATGAACAGGATAGGTTAATAAGGTAACAAATGTTGCTAAGAGCTAGAAAAGAGAGCCTTGATCGCCCACGTCCCGAAGGTGAACAATGCAAAGAAGAAGAAGAAGAAGAAGAAGAAGAAGAACAACAACAACAACAAGTTTTGAGCATCTAAATCAGACAGTATCTGAACCTTTACTCTTCACACGTCGGTTGTTCTCAGATCAGTAAACAAAAAGCAATCGAATTTGTTTTGCAGCGTCACACATTCTGTTCAGACTGAACCGGGGCATCATCTGCGACAAGCAGTGTCTAAAAATCTCAATATCTTTATCGCATTATTTTCTCTTTTACATTTGTACGCCTGTGAACTGGCGCCGTCAAAAACGAATCTCTCTTCTTCCCAACTTGAAGAATTGCCAGAGTAGGAAGAAAAAGGTCGCTTTATTTGTTTTGCTGCGTTAAAAAAAAAGAGAAATAAATTGAATTTTATTCTCATCAATTAGTCTCTCACCTTCACTTCGCAATCGACTCTTTTTATTACAAACTTCAAATTGAAATACTATCCTTTTGAACTTTTAAAAAGCGTTACTTCGCTTTTTTTTACAAAAAACATGAAAGTGGAAGTGACACAAGAAAACTGCAAAACCGACTGTTTCTGTTCCTTTAAAACAATCTTTATAAACACTCCTCACTTAATGACCGGACTGAGTTCCAACTGACTGGTCCTTAAACAGGGTGGCCCCTAAGTGAGTAATTGTACCTGATTGCTATTTCAAGCATGCTAAACTGCCACGCCGTATCTGTCTTCCCGTATGGCCGTGAGTGCTTAACAATCTCTTCAAAGATAAAAAAAGAGAGTTGAAACACCAAAAAGTTGGTTCTACAGAAGGATGCTGAGGATACCATGGAGAAAATGAAAACCAAAAGGAAAGTAATAATTAACGTCAGGAAGAAACAGTTGACGTTTCTAGGGCACATAATGAAGAAGTCAGGTTTGAAAAACATTGATATTCAGGGACAGAGGGCAAGAGGGACAGAGGGCAAGGGGGACAGAGGGCAAGAAGGACAGAGGGCAAGGGGGACAGAGGGCAAGAGGGCAAGGGGGACAGAGGGCAAAGGGGGACAGAGGGCAAGAGGGACAGAGGGAAAGGGGGACAAAGGGCAAGAGGGACAGAGGGCAAGAGGGACAGAGGGCCAAGGGGGACAAAGGGCAAGAGGGACAGGGAGCAAGATGGACAGAGGGACAGAGGAAAATAAAGCATAAAATATTTAGAGAGATTGAGTGAATGGATGGAGGAACAGCGCTTAGTAGAAATAAAAGAAATATAAAGTTTATTAAAAGCTACAAGTGACAAGAAGTTGTGGAGAGCCATGATCGTCTAAGTCTTTTGGTACATAAAGAAGACTCGTTTAATGGGTTTGTTCTGCACAACTGCATATAGCTTTAATGTCACTTTTAAACTATGTGTCACATTTTTAATTTATTTCTAAATATTTATACAGCACAGTCGTTTATGTGTCATGCCTGATACACGCTTACGCGATCATGTATCGAAAGATACCTGACTGACGAAGCAGCATTTTTCCTCGTAGTAGGTTGTCATTTCTTTCTGTGGTAGACTAGTTGCCATCCAAGACTACAGAACCCGGTCTGTCCTGCTATGTATTCATATCTTTTTTTTTGGAGAAGATTATTCATAACTTTCCCAAAGGTATTAACACGTAAGTGAATGTATTGGATTCGACTGCAATTCGAACTCGGCGTATATACAAGGAATTATTCAGTTAGGTGACATGCGTGATACACGCTTAGGCATATATATTTAATACATATCTAATATATATATATATATATATATATATATATATATATATATATATATATATATATCCTAAGAAAGGGAAGAACAGATGTAGTTAGAATCCACAGTTCTTAGCATTTACTTTTTAAAAAAATGCTCAATACAACGTAGACCAAAATATTGTTAAAATATTTTTATTGTAATAGATTACAATGAAAACATTTTACATCGCTACACAAAAACTTTCATGTTTCGGAACTATAATCGTTCCTCGTCGGACAATGGTAGATAATATATAATAAATAATATACAATATTGTTCGCTGCTGACTTGTCTAGAGTGTCAGTTTATCAAAACATGTATTAATAACCAACCTCCTTCCACCCTCTGTCCTTATTTTTTCATTTTTCTATTGTAGCTTAGATCTGGCTTTTAACTAGTTAATCAAGACATGCACACATGTATTTTTTTTAATTTTGCCATTAGGCCTCCCCCTCTATATCTTTCAAAAAAGGTGACGATTTGTTTTCAAATTTCCCAAATAAATCATTTTTATCATATGTTATGTAATACGCCTGAAGGGGAACGATTACAGTCCCGAGCTATTAAAGTTTTTGTGCAGCGATGTAAAATGTTTTATTGTAATCTATTATAATAAAAATATTTTATTATATATATATATCAGAACTATTAGCATAGAGATATTATCTTAATTTTTATTCTAAACAACAATTAAATTCCTGTTTCAGCGAATAACCAGCAACTAGATGTTATGCGAACTGCTTCATTTCAGTATTTCTCCCATTTCAGTATTGCTCTGTATTGATATATATATATATATATATATATATATATATATATATATATATATCAGAAGTATTAATGGATTGTATTTATAATCCCACATATTTTTATTACTACATGGTGATCCACTAAAAATAATGTTTGAAATAACAAAATATGTCAGATTGAAAAATAAAATCCGTTAATTCTTTAGAAATTGCTTTGTTTATGGTTCGAGTTTAAAACTAAGCCGATATGTCCCCTCAAGAAAATCCGAACGAGTGAGTGTGCTTTAAAGGTAAATAAACTTTGCTTTATTCTAAAGGTCTTCGTAGCCGAGTGGTTAAATCACGTCAGATATGTTCGTGCGTGTCTGTATATGAGAATGTCTACGGAGGTGTTTGTCAGCGTCCGGTTAGTGGAATCAAGCTGTTGATGTTTCGACTCTCTAGAGGTAGGGCGGTATTTCTAGCCTCTGATTGGCTGGGGATCTTTGCTTATTTTAATACCAATAGCAGTATTGGCATTGTATTTTATCTTTGTTATTCTCTCATTTTTGCTTTTAAATAGTTGAGTTGTAAAGAGCTTTACTCTTTGATATGAACTTGAGCGCTGCTATTACCATGAATATACAAAATATTTATTTATTTGCTAAAAAAACATGAAGTATTAGAATGAATGAAAGATGAGTTTTTTAAACTGTAGTTTTATTAATGCTTAGTGAGTAGCGTAGCCTCGTTTTAGTTATTCAGTATTTAATAAAATACCGAATGCGTATGAGTGACAAAATCTCTTGAACTGTTTCTATTTTATATGGAAGTAAATTCCATATTATCGAATTCATTCATAAAAGAGCATTGTTTAAATAAGCATAAATACATATTTAAAAACAAAAAACACTCATTCACATACCCTGACATTATAAAAGTATATTGGATAGCTGTATGTAAAAGTAATGGCTGTTGGCGCCATTGTAATTTGACGTTATAGAAATACCCAAAACTCTATCAGTTCTGCTCTGTTTGGTATGTCAGAGAGAATTTTAGCTAAATGCTCATAGCAAAGTAACATAAATTATCGGATTTTCAACAGGGCATGGTAGTGGGTGTCAGATTGATTTTGCATACATTCTGTGATTTACGATGTCACAGGTGTACTAGGAGTATTACCTATAGTGAATAGAGAAATGGCCGAACACATATCCTTAATGGTCACGTGAAGAAACAATTGCTTATAATTGTCTGTATTAACAAACAAGCATTAGTGGCTCAAATCACATCGACATTGAATGCAGGGGGTAATTGACGCATATTCAGCAGGTTAGTTCAGTATTCTTTAAATTCTATAGCATATGAGATCAGAAGACCAACCAGAATATTGTATTTGACAACAGGTGGCCCAGTGTGAATATGGCTGTTCAGGACAGGGCAACATAATTTATCTGAGTTTGAATGGGGTAAAGTAGTGAGTACCAAACAGATATTCAAAAACTCCTTAATTCTCTTCTTTTATTAACCCATAATTTAAATAATTTTTTCTCAGATTCTTTCAGTCTTAGTAACTCCTTGTGTTTTAGTGGCTTTATAGTCTTCTTTGGGGTGAAATGATTAGAAAAAAAAGGAACATGAGGCACCCCTTGCACTACAGTTACATGAGTGTATTGGAGTAGTTGATGGAAAATATTACGATCCACCGTAGTGACCACAGTGAACAACCATAGATTCTTAATGATTATGACTAGAGACGAGTTACTAGGATCACACTTGCGATAGTGGCTATAATTATATCCAAATTCAATGCCGGATACACAAGATGCATATCTAACAATCCGTTCAGTATTCGTTAACTTCCATAATACATAGAAGAACAGAAGACCTACTCGAGCGGAGGGCTGTTAATACCTCTAGACTAGAAATAGCGCCACAACTTGTCACGTGATAGCACTAATTAAATGCAGAACTGATAATATGGGTTGTGGACTAATGCCATTGATTTAGTTGTTTCGAGATGATAGTCACGATCGTATGTGGCGCAGAAACACTGGGTCTATGGATTGTAGTTCTAAGCACTGTGTAGGCAGGCGAATATTTATTCTATAGTGACGTGGGCTGTGTTATGTGGCATCGTTTAAATAAACTTTTGTGTTAAATCTGTGTGTTGCCACAATTGTAATAAATCTCGTGTTAAATCTGTATTTAGTTATTTTTACATTCCCTGCCGTCATAATGATAAAAAAACATTTAACGGCAAAATAGCCTGGAATATATTTTACCGAGAGCGTTAAAATAAGCTAAAAGCATGTTTGTAATGTGCGAGGGACCGGTGAATGAGGATTGTCAATCCATGCAGGCGCTGTGTCCTCCAATGTTTTTTGGGATATTTCAGGGTCATTTTCAGGCTATCTGTGCAAAACATCAAGACGTCCTGTCTGATTTATTCTAAAGCCATCCATCATCCTTTTCCATGAACATGAAGATGAACGATTATATCGAATCAATTTCTATGTCCACTGCAAGGAAATTTTATTCACTGTATCGTTTTTGACAATTTATTCTTCACCTTTATAAGTCAGCCATTCGTCTGTGCATTGAATATTGCTATCACAACGGGTCAGGTAGTTCTGATATGTACCTTTTTTTCCTTTTTTTTTTTTTTTGTAAAGCCAATAAGACACAAGAAGTTACTGGATGTGAAAGAATTTGAGAACAGAAAAGAGTATGAAAGGGCGGGAACAATAGAACGGTAATTAGGAAGCCAGTAGATAACGATTGACATTTCTTTTAAATTTTTGAAGATCAAAGTTAGCCGGAAAGCATGGAGCCGGAAGTGATTTCCACAAGTGAGAAATGCTAGTAAAGCATAGAACTTACATAGCATAGAACTTACGGTTACATCTTCTAGCCATTTCAAATGTAAATTGATGAAACCTTGTTGCCAATCTAGTACTGTGCTTAAATTTAAAAATCTAGACACCATACCGATTAGCTCATCCGAAAAATTACCATGAATGTATTTTTAGAAAAGGCATAGAGAAGGAAATTTACGGCGGTGGTTGAAACCGAGACACGAGGTCAGGACCAATAATATCACTGATTCTCCTTTGAAATTTATCAAAATTGTCTAAATAAATAGCAGGTGCACCAGACCATATGTGGCAACAATATTTAAAGCATTGCTAAACAGCAGACTTATAGATATGCAAAATATTTCCTGGGGAGAAAAATTCTCTAGCATGACACAGTGAAGCAACTTTCTCTCACCAATGGATTCAATGTATTCTTTCCACTTCATGTGGGCCAAGAATATTAACCCGAGAAGGCACAACGAGTCACTGTCCTAGAGGTTAAATTCTTAACAAAATCCAATGAAAAATCTGCAATGTTATCGGTCCTAACACGCCATCTAAATTTCTGTCATTTTCCCACTGGGACATACTAAAGCTGTTCTTTTTTTATAAATATTTTCATGATAATTGTTTTTGTGAATTTTCCTCTTATGTATTTCAAATTCAGGAATTTAATACTCCATTTTGCACATTTATAAATCTACCATTGGCCCGAGCATTCAATATCGCTGCCATATCTGGTATGGTTCTCTGACAATATATCTCGGTTTTCATGACAAAATTCAAAGCAGTGGCTGTAATATAATCAATCCTGATCTGAGATCTTGACTTC